TCGAAATTTACATAATGCTTGTCTTAGTTCAACATTTTTCAGTGATATCAAATAGTTTTCTAATTCAAATTTATTTTTAAATTTTCTGTATGTTCTCAATTTATTACCCTCTCGATCATTATTCACTATAATAGGGTGTGTCTACATCACGCGTTAAAATTTGCATATTAGCGCGTAACAAAGTTGTGATAAAGGAAAGAGTGGTATAAACAAAGGGGGGGGGGTAAAAGACCAGGAAGGGGGTAAAAGAAAAGTTATATAACATTTTATCATTTAATAATTTATTAAAATACATAAGATTGACCAACTCCCTGTGGCTATAGGTATGACTGGGCATGCTTTACTGACTGACTTGTGTGTTGGTCGATAATGGCGCCCCCACAGTCTCCGTGTGTTAACCATTTCAGGCCTACTCAGAAAAAGACAATATTATTTGTGACCTGCTGCAAGTATGGAGTGCTTTTATGCAGGGAGTTTTCTCTACTGATAGTGAATGTAGGGAATTTCGGCCACCATTTGCCACCGTGACCTGAAAACATGTAAAATATCTTGTTTATTATATCGTATAGTTATTTATGTTTAACTCATACGTTTAATTATATTTATTTATTTATTTACTAACAATATAATATATAACCAGTTTGGCGCTACTAGTTTTTTGTAGGATTGACTTCAAAATGAGACAATTCATCATCGGTTTCGTTTTAGTTTATTCGATTCGATGGATGTATAAATACATTTTATGATTCGCATTCAATATTCAACTTACAGATTCACTAGTGTCTATTACGTCCAATGGGTGTTTTATGAGATCAAAGTTTTGAAATCAGGCCATGTGTAATTGCCCGCTTAATTACTACAACACATAATCATTCCAGTGCATGATACAGAGCACCTACTCCAAGTACTAGTATGGGATACAGTCGATGGGATCATGAAAGAAGTAGTCAATGAAGACAAATAAGATGCCCCAGGGACTACCGGTGATATATAGTGTATCATGGGTAGGGCAATAGGAAATAGGTTAATTTCATAGATTTTTTTTAACTCTACTGTGGCAGCCCCCCCCCCCCCCCGCCCGAGAATACAACATGTCAGTTGAGAGAGTTTTGTCTTCCTCCTACTATAACAGCGAGCGCAAGTTATTTACATACACCTAACTCCCGCACCCGGTATAGCCAATTACCGAGAGACTTTGCAACATCTCCAGACACTTTGCTAGACACTCCAATGACTGTTGTAGACGCAATAAAGTTACATACACGCTCACGTGACAGTTAATCAAAACACCGGACGCGGTATGCCTTTGAAGTTTGGCCACGAAGAACGAGGAGTAGTTGGACTATTCCATTGCTTTGTAGATGAAAAAAACCATTGCTGTGTGATACTTGGGAGAATTATAATACAAACATTAAACTGTAAATAAATATTAATAAGAAATGATTATCTAAATTCTTTTGACTGGTAGTTTGTTAAGATGTTGTCAATGGATATTATGTTAATAATGTTAGCGTTGTGAGTGTCCCGTTCAATTTCTCGCATAATGGCTGGTCCCATTGCCCTGTTTGCCAGAACACTCATCGCCCAGTCAATCTTTCCCTTGAATCTTCTACTTAGTTTCACCACACCGTCACTATATACCAGTTTCAAATATCCTTCAAATAAATTTGATAAACTCAACGATTCAGTTGACGAAGGTCGGTACTCCTCTCGGGGCGTATCCCACCGATACGACAGAAATGCCACACAATCCCATGAACCGTTGCCCTCGTTAGTCCATCTTCCTCCGTCGTCGATCATTCGCAAGCGTAGAATAATCTCTATCTCAGTGTCTTCGTCTAAGCACTTCGACATAATAGCAATAATTCTTAAAAATCAGAAACTGCATTCAAAAACTAAACTGTTCCCACGAGGATAATTTAGATAATTTCATTATATGTTAGGGGCGTTTTCAAATATTTGTATCAAATAGGTTTATTATTTTCGCGAAACAACCAAAATAGAATTTATTAAATGAATTCGCATATGTATGCATGAAATAATAAAGTGTCCGATATCAAAAATGAGTAAAATATGATTGTTTGACGCTTACACGTTGTAATAGTTGAACTCATCTGAAACCCTGGTCAGTGGTTTTGATTACCTGTCACGGTCGTCGGAGCGTTTGGGAATTTGACCTGCCAGTTTAGAAAATCACGTGGAGTGCACGTTTGTGTTACTATATCACGATCGTACAGAAATCATACACATTGTTCGTGTGATCATTTAAAATAAGTTAATAGAACAATACAAACGGAAAAGAGTACATATGTGAAAGTGGCCATACTGATACAATTACGGGAAAATTAACATATCATGTATCTATAAAGTTCGACGAAATGCCGTAACTGAAAATTCAACTGGACACCAGTTGTTTTTATAAGACCACGCGGTTATAACCGTGATAAGACTAAGACTGCATAAAG